GTTTTTCTTCTTTAATCCTAATTGCTTCTGCTTATACTACAAGGACAAATGGTAATTCTCAGTTATGCTTTTTGAGCTGTAGACACTGACTTCATTGAAAATTGGGCTTAAACTGCCAGGCTCAATTTCCAAAGTTCACAGAGTCTCCCTCATCTTGGTCATGCAGCTTTTCAGTGGCTTCTCATCCAGCTTGGATTCAACTCATGCTCTAATTGAAGTTTTCTTGAGCTAGGAAGAAACCAAGGATGGCCTTGGGGAATATTACCAAAACCATGGTCCTGTTCTCAAATACATGGACAGAGATTACTCTTTATTTTATGATGCCAACTGTTTCACTGTTTTAATTTACGCAGCTATTGCTGGGTCAGAAAGAACATGTTTTTTGCCCTAGCGTTCTCCATCATTAGAAGATGTGTACGTTCGCTGCAAGGAAACTGCCTTGCAGCACTACTCCTTTTCACATGGATAAGTCTACTTCTGAACAGATAAAGAATTCATGACAGGCTTCATAATTTCCAAGAAATTTCATTATCATTCAGATTGTAGGTTTTTTGGCTCCTTCTCCTCAGGTTGCCAAAACACCTCCTCATTAGTACCAACTATAATTGGTTCTGCTGGTAGGTGGTCTTGCCACGTTAATTTTCTACCACATGAAATCAGGCACCTGGGTTAAACTGAAAGTAAAGATGCCATCACAGCACATAGGAGGTAAGAAATGGATCTGTGAGTTGCAAGATTCCCAGAAATGGTTCAGCTCTCTCAAAACCAAGAGACCTCACTGTGTGCATGGACTACAGGACTTGTCAGGACAGTCATGCTGTGGGCAACGAAGCCAACTCTAGGCTCTATGTTAAGCCCAACGTTGCTTATTGTGTCCATGGTTTGCATTTTGGCCATCACTTGGGAATATTGTCACTCAGGAGTGACCCCTTGTGGAAAAGCCTGGGCTGGAGTCGCTATCGATTGTCGGAGGGGATCAATTCCCCTTCTACTCCCCCCTTTCTGGATGGAAACAAACGGCTTTGCAGTAGGAAGAGTGCCCTTTGGCTACCGTATCAATCTGAGGGCTGCTCTTGTCAAAATGCACAATCACAAGCTTGATAATGCAATCCATTCCCAAAGCACTATATTTCCAACCTGTTCTCCATCATTTCCTTATGGCGTCACATTTACTCAGTTCATCACGCTCTTATTAATATTTTAGGTTTCCTTGAAAGTGATGGAATTCTATTTTTATTACAAAAGCAACAAGAATAAATACTAATTGTTGTCAGTTATTTCCTTATGTAGTGGGAACAGTAATCTGTTCTTCAGCTTCAGTTTGCCAAAGCAAAATAATTAAATATTTTAGACATTTACAAAATCTGTGATATTAGATAAATGCAATTTGATCTCCTTGTTTGCCACATAAAAGCTGGAACTGCCTGAATTGATAAGATTGAATTGCATTATTTTTATTGTTTCTACTCGCATATTTTTCTTATCTTCAAGAACACTTTACTTAAAACCCAGTAGTTAGTCATGCGGCCCTGTGACAACCAATGAATCCTGGAAAATCTCCTCCATATTTGAATTCTAGCTTGGGGAGCCACAAGTAGAGCATGAAGATTTAATTTTTTTAATTTTAATTTTAATTTTTAATTTTACATATATGTAAGTATATGCGAAAGGGAAAGTCTTGATGGGCTGTGTAATATTATTGTTATTCACGATCACTTTAGTGTCTCAATAACAGCAGTCAGGGATCCAGGCGTCATTGTGCCAGCCACAATGCGACATCGGAGTAAGGCAATCCCAGCTCTCAGCCGGGATAAGGACAAGTTGCAACAGGTGGAAGAAGCGGACAAAAGCAGGGGGTGGAAGGAGAAGTTGACAGCAAAGCCGACATGTCATGCATATTAAACAGCAGGCTTGGGATTCCTTTCCGCTCTCCGTTAGGATGGGGGTCTTAGCCTCGGCACTCTGGCCACCCGCCAGCTCAAGTAATGATATTTTCCTTACCTAAATTCCTCTTGCACTTTCAACAGGGAGTCATAGTGGCAAGGTAGTGTCCAGGAATATGCCTCCCAGCATCTTTTTAATCAATTAAAAAAAAATAACCTCTAGATCATAATTTTGACTTGCCTTTGGAACTATTTGCTACGAAGTCATTGGAGCCCTGAAATCTGCTTTAGTTTTTTAAAAACCACAATTAAAGTCAGGCTACCCCATCCATAGTTTCTGACCAAGGACTTTATGTGTGCTTTGAAATTGCCCAAAGTCGTTTTTCCCATTTCACTCTTTTTTCTTTACTTCTAAAAGCTGAATTTTGAAACTAAAAGCATGGCACTTAAATATTCTTAAATAATTACTAAAACATCCAAAAGCATCTCTGAATGCAGATAATTAAGACTGTACAATGTGTGTGCGTGGGGAAAACCCATTTTGGTCTCTCAGTGGATGTGCTGGAAGAACTGGAGAAGTCAGAGAGACTTTAACCCTTTTTGGCTCTGCATGGTGCTTGCTCCTTCCCTGGGTGAAGCTTTTTCTGAGGGCTTGATGGAGGGTTCAAAGTTTGGGAGACCATATCTTGGGATGGAGTGAGAGCTTCTACTGGCCCAGCCAAAATTGCCAAGGGCTGGATTCTGTGGTAGCTAACGGACTCCTTCACCCACCTTGGGTTGCTAATTAAGAGCAGCAGAAGTGGGAAATCACTCCATTTCTTTGTTAGCTCTGATAAAATCTGAATCCTTTCCCCTTCCCAGCCCATTTGTTTTAGTTAGATGTGAAGTTCAAAGCC